GAAATAGAAGAGACCTTAGGTAATATAGTGCCTGTGAGGCAGCAGGGGCTGTATGCGGGTGGTTCTCACAGCTCTGTGAGAGTCTAGGCGCAAAGAGTGATCCAGAATCCAGCAACTGCAGGATTACAGGCAAGATCTGCAACAGTGTTTGGTGATTCTTGGGTAAGAAGTTCAGAGAAACCAACCCACTGTTATGAAGATGCCAGACTCCTCAGGAGAGGAGGAGAGGGAGTCTGGCCCTTTGTCCGAGTGTCATCCAGTAGTAGCAAACCAAGCTGCCACCCCAGAGTTTCCAGACTCCTCTGGAGAGGAGGAGAAGGCTGGTTCCATGTTCCGGCTCGCCGGGTGGTGTCTCAGAAAATGAAGTGGCTGGCGATAGCTTGATGGCGCTCTCTTTACCCCTGCGCCACCCGGGAGGCCCCTCTATCATGCATTTATCAAGAAAATGGTTCCTCCTCAGGACACGGGCCACCCTACAAAAGCCACAGCAAACAGCATGGGCTCAGGGCGGCCCTCTGGAAGGGGACTCCTGAGACAGGGGCGGGGCCGGGGCTGAGGCGCCCGCTCTGTTGTGCCTGAGACTGGGCGTTCTGGGCAGACAGATGGAGGGAAGAGATCTGAGACATCTGCGTGGGACAGGGGCCCCCACGGCGCTGTCTGTTCACAGAGCTGGACGCAGCTTCCTCCGAACAGAACGTGCTGGAGTCAGCCCCCTCCGAGCGGCCTGTGGGGCCGAGCAGACACCAGGCGCCCCCCACGCACAGCGGCTCACTGTGTCTCCAGGAGCCAGAGACTGCCCGGGCCCTTTTTGGAGCAAACTTGGGCTCTGGGGCGCCCCTCAGTGTGCGAGGCGGGGTGTGCGTGAGTGTGTGTGTGTGTGTGTGTGAGGGGTGATGATGGGGGTGTGGTTGTGGGCCTGGCCATGCCACGTGAGCCCATGGGGGGCAGCCCCCCGTGCTGCAGGAGGCCTTGATGCCCCAGCCAGATAAGACACTGGCAAGCAGTGAAGCCCAAAGGGCCTCACACCGTGGGGCCGAAGCCAAAGGGCCTCACACCGTGGGGCTGAAGATTCCTTGTGCCTCACACCGTGAGGTTGAAGATGTAACATTCCTTCACTTTCTGTTCTTGGTCATAAATAAGAAAAAATTTCCCAAAAAGTACATTAGGCACTATATTATATGCATCAGTATATTGCAAATAAACGGCATGGAAAATTAGAAACTAATTATTAAACAATTTGGCCTACTTGACAATGGAAGACAACTTATTGAATATGCCTGACAAGCATTACAATACAATAATCATAGCAGGTCCTTCTATTTTGTTTTCTCTTGAAGTTTCTTGGGAAAGTTTTTAATATGAAGCTATTTGAGTTAAGGAATTTCTAGGTAGAAAAAGTTCTGATAGCTGAACTGCAGCTGGTCTCCGGCTGAAGGTCATGTGAATAGAATAGTCCTTTGATGCTTAGGCTTTAGCTGATAGGGATGCACTGGCGGTTATTCACTGTTTTAAATAATTGTCTGAATGAAAAAATAAGTAGCTTTAATGTTAGGTTTGGTTTATTATCTGTTAACCTTGAAAGCTGCCGTCTAGCTGAGACCTGTAGGGGCCAGTAGTCTATGGGAAACATAATATACTAATTGTTTATGCTTTACACATGATAATGTATTCTCTTATTATTATTACTAATAATGAATAAATAAAGACCTGCTGAGTCTCTCGGCAGAAGATACTAACACCTCACCAAGTGTCGGTGTCTCCTCATTCCCTTCCCCTCAGTCCTTAAGTTTTCAGTTCTTTCGTTTTCGCCTAGGCCGTCTCATCCTTTCAGGAACCCCTGACAAGATGTTTTGTCGGAGGCTGGTCCCCGGCACCCCCGCCCCCCGCCGCACTGGGGCCAGCTCCCGCCCCTGGGTCCCTGGGGAACCGCACGAGATGTGAACCTGGCGCTCCTGGCAGAGGCCCGGGCTGGTGAGCCCAGAGTAGCAGGAGCAGGCGCCTCTCCTGGGCAGGTAACCGGGAGGCTTTTCTTGGCGCATGTCGCGCACGAAGCGACGCAGGGTCCCAGCTCCGTCCCTGAGCGGGAGACCCTGTCCCTGGCTCTGCTGACGCTGACCCTGAGCGAGGAGCGAGCCCCCTCCACCTCGCCTCTCCCTGGGTTTGGGCTCCAGGCTCCTGAGGCCCAGATGGTGGGGCTCCAAGCTCCTGGCCGCGCTCTGACCCGTCGGGCCCAGCCTTCCTGGGGCGGTCCTGGCCCGCCCCCCGACCTACGGCTTCCCCCGCCCCCCCCTCCCGCCCCAGCCTGCCCAGCCCCACCTGATCCTATGCCCGCCCTGCCCAGGCCTCGGCCCCTGAGGCGCAGCACCCCCATCCCACGCCTGGGGGCAGGACAAGTGGCGGAAGCGGAGTCGGGCATTGGCTTCCTGGGCAGGGCAGGGACAGGCGCCATCGTCCACCCTCCTCTGGCCTCAGCGCAGTTCTAGACGCTCGTTAGTGGGGTCGTTTCCCTGAAGACTCTTTCTGTCTGGTCGCTGTCAGGGGAGAGAAACACAGCTGAGCTTCGTTGTTGATTTTGTGTCCCGCCACCTTCCTGCTTTCATCTTCTCCAAGTTATTTTTTTTTTTTTTTTTGTGCAGTGACACAGAGACTTGGAATGAAAGATTGCTGCTGTTTCTACCACAGCCCGGGTCGTCTGCCACACCCGAGGCAGCAGGTCTATTGGTGGAATCTCCACACACAGCCTCTTCCTGAGACCGGAACCCTCAGCAACATGGCCCTGGAGGGATGCGACCTCGGCCCTGGCGGTGTCTTCCTGGGAAATGCCGGCTGCCTTTCTTCCTGCCACCATCCTGTTGCCCAGTGAAGACAATCAGGGATTGACTCTGATACGCGCTTTGATTAGATCAGCATGCTCCAGAGAGAGCCGTGGCCACCTGCTCTCTCACAGGCATCTGATGGAGTTCAGCCTAGACGGGAGTGATCCCTGAATGGCCTTCACTGCAGACCCTTCAGGCCTGTCTCCCTGGCAACTCCCCCTCCCCTGGCCTCTGGATTCAGCTCCCCTCACCCTCCTGGGATGGCTCAGTCTCTCACAGAAATGAACAAGGACGACTCCTGCATGGGTGGCCTTTTGTGGGTGGCCTCTTTCAGTCAGAAGGTCTTCACTTCTAGGCCTCCTTTTCTTTCTACCTTTTATGTCTGTCAGTTTTCCGCTGGCCATATTGACAGTGTACGCTAAAGACAAAGCCTGTCAGCCTCAGTGCTTTGGCCCCTGAGGTTCTGTGTGCTTGAAGGGCCTGTTCCCTCACTTCCTTCCCACAGAGCTCCCTCCCAGAACACTTTGCTCAAAACACCCGTCTCAGTCACCTTCACCTCTTTCCAGCCCTCTCTCCATCACTCCTACTCTTCTTTACCTGGCGTGGCTGCTCCCCACACTGCACGTCCTTACCCCGCAGCTCTGTGGCCACGTGGGCAGGCTGTGCTCACACCAGATGGCTTGGTATTTCCTCCTCCTGGGTGGACTGGACACCTTCACCCCATCCTGACAGCTGTGAGCACCTACGTGTGTCGTCTTCATTGACTTCACAGTGTTGGGCAGTTTCCAGGGTGTCCATAGGTCTCCTGGGGATCCCCAATCAGTGCAGGTTCTGACCCACTCGGCTGCTCAGGAATGAATGAAGCCGGACCTCTGTGCTCCTCCATGCCCATCAAGCAACCCGCCAAAGCCTGACAGTTTTCCACATCCAGCCCTCTCTCCCCCGAGTTCCCCTGAACGGTACTCCCCAACGCTGCCATAGGCCGCCCATAGGGAGATACTCCTCACTTTGCCTTCCCTCTGGGGTCTCACTTTCTCCCCAGATGAAAGCAAAGAGGGTGCTGCCCCACTGGATCCTGTTGGACCAGGTTCATCCCCTTCCCCAATCTCTGCCCACAGGCCCGGGCTGGGACTCCTCTCCAATTCTTAGGGTGCTCCTATTGGGAGGATGGGACTCACTCATGTTGGCATCACCCACCCGACAGTCCCGCTGCATCATGGCAGTGTGGAAATTCAAAGTAAAATAGAGGTAAATAGCCTCTGTCTTCTCCAAAGATCATGGCTATCTAAAAATTCTAAGATAAGTGGGGAAGAAAGTGTTCTTACAATCTTTGGTGGAAATGTTGGTTAGGATATCAATTTTTTGTGGTCTGTGTGCAATTCCATTTCAAAATTGCTCAAATGGGTTGAGCTTTAGATTAGAACATTGGTTGTCATCCTTGCTACCTTGAAAGTCACCAATTGTAAAAAATAATAAAGGGTCTCGATGGACATTGCAACAGGCGTCTGCATTGTATTTGTGATGTTCTTTCATTGACGGCTGATATCAGTTCATTTAGAGTGAAATGTTTTCAGCTAAAGATAAAATTCCTTTTTTAAAAAAGGGGCTTTAGACATTGTTGTCATTCTCAAGTTTCCTTGAAAAGGCTCTGGTTATTCTCAGAGTTTTGTTTTTTTTTTTTTTTTTTAAAGATTTATTTATTTATTTATCTATTTATCTATTTATTTATTTATTTATTTATTTATTTATTTATTTATACAAGCACTGGGTACAGTCAGAAGCATGAGAGGGTGAGAAATTCACTGAGCCAGAGCGGGGAGCAGAACAGGCAGAAGGACCGAAGTACACTGCTGAGGGGAGCAGTGGTCGGCAGGAGAGCTCTGCGCGCCATATGCGACCCTCTCCAGTGGCCTGGGAGCAGCTGGAGATCGAACCGTTGCTGCAGAGGCTGCGGGCAGCTTCGCAACCCAGAGCTCAACCACTGCGCCCTGAAAGGACATTTTGCCGAGGCTGGTCTGCCACAGGATGTCAACATGGGGTGAGTTTATTTGGAACACAGGAATTTCATTCTATTCCACCCTATTCTTTTTTCGTTGTTTGTTTCTTGGTAACTAGGTAGAGGAAGGATCTTTCAGTTATTTGAAATTTTGTTTTATGAGACATCATGGCTCCATTCATCATTTTCCTTTTTCTTTCCATAGGTATGTACAATTTTCAGAACTCTTGTATATGAAAGCTGGAAGGGTCTGGGCTTTGATTTAATGTCTTACTTTCACTTTTTTATCAAAGCAATATAAACCTTATGGGTTAAACAGAGTACATTTATAATTACTTTTTTGAAGACAAAATATATTTATTTGGATTTGCAAATGAGCAGGAGCCTAGGTTTAGGCCAGAAACCCAAACCCCCTCACTAAAATCAATGAGGTGTATTTGACATCCACTCCAAATGAAGCTGCTGTGCCCACCCTGCCTGACTAGCAGGAAGGCCACAATTTCATCCTTAATATTAGTTTTTCTTTGGCCATCAAGGTATTATTAATTTGAAAAATAATTTTAGCAGTTCCTTTTCACCTGCCAAGGATCAGGGATGTAAGTGCAATGATGATGTTTTCATTAGTTTTAGTCAACCGGTTCTGATCATAAGAGAGGGCTGCATGCATTATAGAAAATTTGAACAGTCGAATGAAATAAAATGACCAATGGCCAACTATGATTTTTCATCAAAAGAGAAATATTTTTCATGAGTTAGCTTACTTTCTTCCTTCTGATTTCCAGTATTTTGAATTGTGAACTACAACACCCTTGTATAAGGGCAGGTTGTATAAATGTAGAGTTTAAGAATCACCAAATGAACTCCCATTCACTAGATGGAGAAACATAAAATCACATATCATCATCGTCTCTGAGTGCGCACCAAGATGCGACCTTTGCAGTAACTATTTCCCTTGCTTTTCATGACAAGTTCTCATATAATTCTGTATTATTAAATGTATAATTAAAACATGATTTTCATTTTGTCTGGTATTTAAAATATAAATAAATTTTATTATGTTCATTTTCTATCTAGACTCTTTCTCGCAACAATATGTGGGCAAGATGATCCACAGGATTGGCTGTGCTACAGCCTCATGTTTTCACTGCTGTATAGTATTCCACTTAATACCAAGTAATTTTTCCACTCTATTCTACATTCACACTAGATTATTGCATTAATATTTTCTATCCAAACTGGAATACCAATATCTAGAATTTTATATTCCACTTTCTTCATTGAACACTAATGTTTTATGTATATGTGAGATATATTGGACAGTTTCCTGGGGTTTTCATTTAGATTGTTTCCAATCCTGAATGGAAATGAATTTAGTATATTTAATATATTTAATATATTTCTATTTTTTCTCTCTCCAAGACAACAACAATAAAAACAACTATAATTGAGATGTTAAACTAATGCACAATTCAACCATAAAATCCTAAAGCCAACTAAATCTTGAACCAAGAATCAACTGAAGGCAATGATGAAGCTGTAAAGATTTATTTTTTGTCATTTATTGAAGAAACAGATATTTGCATGAATGCAAGACGTTCTTAGTAAGTACGCACAATTTTTAAAGAGATGTTACCAGTAGCGGTGACAGCCATTCTCTCTCTTTCTCTCTCTCATAGGATGGAGAGCGTTGGAGAGGGAGAGAGATTGCAAACTAGATTCCTGAATTTACTAATACGTCAAGGTTTTATTTTCTGTTTTTCTTCTTTTTACTGAATTATTTCTTCTTCACACATATTTTATTCTCTGAGATGGGCTACCAGATAATGTTCCCTAAAAAATTGCACCTGCATCTTTCATCTTCTCTGATGGAAATTCTGTGTGAGCGAGCATCTAAGCTAGGAGCCCGAGAGTCAATAAGGAGGCAAAATATTATGGATTTTTCTGATGTCTGAACAAGAAATACCATCCATTTCCTACATTATTTGTGCTGTTAAAGTGAAGGTCCTATCACTTCTGGAACATAAAATAACTTAAAAAGCAGGGCCTCCCCTGGTGGCACAGCAGTTGAGTGCTGGGCTGCGAAGCTGCCCACAGCCTCTGCAGCACCAATTAGATCCCTGGTATAAAATGGGCCAAAAAGAAAGGGGATAAAAAGGGCATTGGAGGGAAAGCAATTTGGATAATAGGTTTCTCTAACCCCTTCTGAAACACTTCGCTACTTTAGTTCACTATGCCTAGCCACAGAAGCAAATAATTTGACATATTTAACATCAGATAGGGTTTGAGAGATTTCTGTTCTACCCTCATTTGTCAAAGTGAAAAATGAAGGCCTTCAGTGTTCACATAAGGTCACATAAATGGAAGCATTAATTTCAAAATCCTGATCTCACACGTAGTTTATTCTCCAACAGTCTGAAATTAACTTGAAAAATAACCCACAAATTTGAATTAAAGACTCTTGTGCAATGATTTCTCAACAACACAAGTGATATCTCATTGCCTCACTGGGTTTCTGCAAAAACACTAACCAACTACTGGCTAGAACCCTTTCAGATTATACCCATGATCTATGTTTTTATACTAACTCACTTTAAAAAGCATATATTTCTATTTTAGTGGAATTATTTATTCTCCTCTTATACAGAAAGATAAGTATCAAATTTATTTTCCATAGCATATCATAAATAATGTTTAGCTAGAAAAATGAGACACTTTCTCACAAATGCCATCCTTCTTGAAAGAGGTATTAAAGGTGTTCAACTACTGCAGGGTGCATCTGACAACCACTACTAAGTATGGAGGAAAAGTTTGGAACAGATTAGATCCACATACCTTTGCGGGAGGGGAACGAAGAACAAGAAATTACTTAAAAGACTGTGGTGTGGTGGAAGAACCTCAATGAAATTAACACTGTACTTCGAGTTTATCTTCAAAAGTCCTCTCAAAGAGCCTTCCTAGGCAGTGATCCACCCAATACATTGAGAAAAAGTGCCCTGCCATTTATTGGCTTGAATCACGAAATGATTTCATCTTGACCTCAGATATAGCAATATGATATGCCTTAACCTAAATGAGAGTCACATCTCAAGAAACAAAGAAGGTCACAAGCTATGGAGTTCTTATTGAGATAATGCCAGTAAAAACCTTTTAAACCGTCAAAACGAACGTTGATCATCCTCTCTAGCCCTTCTCTCTCCCTCCCACCCTCCTCCGCTCCCCCACACCCTATACTTTCCCTAACCCAGTGTTCCAGGACTGCAAACCTTGTTGAACACAAATCCTTCACTCCGGTGCAGAGGACATTAAATGAGAAAAAATATGAAAATATATTACCATGCTTAAAAATATATAAAACTTCAGAACATATTAGAGAATAAAATTTCAAATCCTTAAGTCTCTAAAAATCCTTAACTAGGAAGTGATTAAGAAAGTGACCTGAAATGTACGTGTATCAGGAGCGAAAACAGGAAAAATTGTGAGGATAAATTCACCCGGGGAACTGCTCCACAGACCTGGACGAAATCAGGACGCTCTTCCTACACCGCGAGCTCCATGTCTACGCCACACACTCAAGTCTAACTATTGTCAGTATCACTCCCCTCGCGCCAAGAAAGAAAACACAACACTCTGTTATCTTCTGTGCTGCGGCAGAATGGAACCATCATTTGTCAAGGTGGCTCACAGCTTCAGCAAAACTATCTCAGAGCACAGGGAGTGAGTCAAGCAGCTGGAAGGCCAAAGAGATCTTTCAGGTCTGACTCATGAAACACGACAGCAGCAGCCGGGGCGGGCGTTGCAGCGCGGCCAGGAAGGCGACCTGCGGCCTCACGAGACTTCCCTGCGCGTCACGTCGTTAGAGAAAGTCCAACCTGAATCCCGAAGTGATAAAGTCCCGAGTCCAGCTCGCAGGGGCACGAGCGGCCTGAGCCCGGGGCCGCGGCCTCGCCCAGGCGAGCCTCGGGACCAGCGCGGCCCCGGCGCCCAGGCCTCGCGCGGCGGGCGGCAGCCGCGGGGCGCTCTCGCCACGACAGGGGGAGCAAGACCCGTCACCCTGGCCGGCGCGGGCCAGCGGGGGCCGCGGGCGGGGCGGGGCGGGGCGGGCAGGGCGGGCAGCGAGGCCGCGGGAGCCGGGGCCGCCGGGCCGCGAGGCGGAGGGGCCCGCGGCGCACAAGCGGGGACCCCGCGCGGCCACTCGGGGCGCGCCGTTGACGGTTCCCGGCCGGCCCGGGAGACGCTGCCACGGCGGCCCCGTCCGCTGGCCCCGTCACGACCGCGGGGCCGCCTCACCTGGACTTGCCGACGCTGCTCTCGCCAATGATGAGGACCTTCAGGGCGGGCAGCACGTCCTCATCCATCCTGACGCTGCTCCGCTCCAGCCCAGCTGGCCGCCCAGTCCGGCTCTCAACCCTTCACCCCGAGAACTGCCCGCGCATGCGCACCGCTCCGCGTGCCACCACCTTTTCACACCGGGTGTGTCAGTCCCTGGAGCCGGCGACGCCCCAGTTCCGCCTGGAGGTTGCTCTGCGTCTGCGCCAAACCAGAGTTCCAGGCGGTTTCCCGGAGAGGTTAGTCCTCTCGCGCGCAAGCCCAGACCTAGAGGGCGGAAGTGTGTGACGTCACCCACCTGCGCACTTCCTCCTTCCGGCCCTGTCTTCCATCGGACTTGGTTGTGCAGTTGGCGAAGGGAAGGGCCTGAGCCAGGGGAGTGTAACGCTTTTTTGGTTTAGTTGCTGCTCATAACAGCCATACGGCGTGGGGAAGCACTGTGCGGAAAGGCAAATTAAGGTAAAAGTAGGTCCCAACTCTACCACATGGTCAGCTAATTTATCTCGCCTTCTGAACCTGTTAGCTCGGCTCAGAAAAGGAGGCCATCATATGTCTTAGAATAATACCAGCTTCTTGGATTGCTATGAAGAGAAAGTGAGATCGTTTGTGAACACACTTTGTAAACGCAAGTAAACCATTTAAGTGTGACCAGGTACGAATTTCCTGATTTACCCTCCTTTAATGAAGAATTCCCTTCCTACATCTGTACCTCTTGAAAGGGAATTGTAGACTCTATAGATCCGGTGCATAAAAACTTATGGTGGTGCAATTTCAAACCAGCTATTTCTGTTCTTAAAAACTACACAACTAGAGGAATCGTGTACATGTGCTTTATTTCCTTCACTAAGTTGAAAATCTTATTGAAAGTCCCAAATCTCATATGGAAATGAAAGTTAATAGAATGCTTGGTACTTAGCAGACACTGAACAGTTCTTTCACCTTCTTACACTTGCAGCTAATGCCAGATACAATAGATTTGATTACAGAAGGAATAGGGGGAAAATTAAAGAATTTTTTTTAATCTGGGAAAGCACTTTTGCCATATATCCAATTGGTTCCTTCACTTCCTTCGGTCTTTACTCAAATAATGCCTTCCTAAGGAGGCCTGCCTTTGTCCTGTGCACTGCCTTCCAGTCTTCCCTATACCTCTTCACATTTTCTGCACAGAATTTGCCATCCTTACATATATATGATAAATAAATTCTGCTTTATATTCATATATATTTTACTAGTTTATTTGCTCACTGTCTAATCTTCCCCAAAGAGAGCACAAAGATCCCTGGTGTCTAGTTCCTGGCATATAATGTAAAATTATACTAAATGTTTGATGAATGAACTGAGTGAAAATTCTGGACTCGTTCCCAATTTTGAAAAGTAATATCTACCAGACAACCTCTCATAAAATCATCTTTGAAATCTCAAGATTTTATCAGAAATCTCAGATTTTATCAGATTTATATAATAGTTGGCATGATAAGTTTTGTCATTTCTAAAATGCCAAATTTGAAATAGTCTACAAACTCAATATACCACTACTTGCCATAGAATCATGTTCAATTTGGCCATACTCTCTTGGGAAGGTCTTACTGTTGTCCAGATGATTTCATTCCAAGCCAAAAAATACGGATGTTCAAATGTGTTGCATCCCTGAGCTAAAGAAACACAAGATAGTCATACTGATAACATGAGAGGGAGGGTGAGATGTCAAAGAATCTACAAAAGCACTAGCAGGAAAATCAGTTACGTATATTCAAGTCCAAGCAAGGCAAGTATTAGGACTATACTCAGCACCTGTGCCAACAGAAATTTCCTGGTCCTTTTCCTCTTTGTGCCTGCTCCAACCCAGGAAGTATTTTTGCAATATAGAAAGGAGGAAGGCATACTAGACAAATATTATGAGAAACACTATCTTAAATATGCTCAGAATACTAAAGGAGAACACTGACAGGGAACACAATATATGAATGCTATAATAATATGCATAGAAAACTCAGGAGGAACAAAACAAATTCGGGAGCTGAAAAGCTAAAAAACCAACCAACAAACACGCACACAAAACAAACAATAATTAGTCAAGGAATAGAATAAAAAGAGTCCAAGCTGGAAAGGAAGAAATGTAAAGTATCCTGTTTCACAGAGTACATAATCACAGATATGAAAATTCCAACACATCCACAAGAAAACTACTAATTACAAAAAAATTCAACAAAGCTACAAGATACAAGAACAACTTACAAAAATCAGCTGTGTTTCTATTTATGTGCAAAAAGGAATTGCAAAAGGAAATTAAGAGAGCAATTCTATTTAAATACAACCTATAAGAAAAAAATACTTAGGAGTATATTTGACCAAGAGTAAAAGATGTGAACACTGAAAATTATAAACACTGGTGAAAGAAACTAAAGAAAG